TACATTTTCTTAAGAGATTTTTGCATCTGTACTCATAAATGATCTTGGTTTATAGTTTTCTTGTAGGGTCTGGCTTTAATGTCAGGGTAATGCTGACTTCATATAATGAAAGTGGGAAGTGTTCTCTTCAAAATTTTTGTTAAGAATTTGAGGACTGGTGCTAATTCTCCCTTAAATGTTTGGCAGAATTCACCACTCAAGCCATCTCAGCAGTAGGCTTTTTTGCTGGGCATTTTTTGATCAGTCATTCAATCTCCTGACTTGTTACAGGTCTCCATAGGTTACAGAGGTTATAGGTTGTCTATTTCTTCTTGAGTCAGTGTTGGTGTGTGTGCACCTCTCACATTTGCCTCTTTCATCTAAGTTTTCTAGCTCAGGGTATGCAGCAGTTCCCAGCAGTCTCTCAAGCTCCTTTTCCCTTCTGTGGGATTGGCAGTTGCATATGTATTTTGAAGGTCCTCAGTGTTCCAGGTCACCCACCCTTCCATTCCAAGGGTGCTGGGAAGAGCAATCAAATGTGCCAAATGTGAAAAAGCAGAGTGTGCATCAGCAGGGGACTGTGTGTACTTAGCTGCTCATACATGTAAAATAATTTCTAGAAAGATTCACAAAATTGACAGTGGTGATTTCTTCTAAAGAGGTGATCTGGGGGACAAGAGTCAGGAGCTGGGAGGAGACTTATGTTCCACACTATGCCCTGTTGTACTTTTTCAGTTTTGTTGTAGATTCATGGATAAATATACTTTTAAGTGCCTGGAGTATTTCCCCAGGACCACCAGTGCCTGGTCCTGCAAGGGGGCAGGCAGGGCCATGCTCAGGGAGTTATGCCACTCTGCCCCATGGACATGGCCTGTCTCAGCTCCCAAAGCCAGGGCTCATTCCCAGCCTCAGGCCTGGGAGGCACGATTCCCATGGGGACTTCAGGCTGCAGCGTCTCAAGGATCAAGGACTTCCATCCTGTGATCATGGTAGAGTTTCCTTACCTCTCTGGACCTCAGATTCCTCCTCTGTAAAATGGGAATGGTGAAAGTAGCTGAGAGAGACAGCCCTGAGAAAGAGTGCCTTGCTGACAGAGGGAGAAATATTCTTTATTCCTGTTTACTCAATGTATCAATGTTATTACATTATTACCTCACCATCATTAACTACAAGCCCAGTCTCTGGCGAGGAGCCTCCATCAGGCTGACAAGCCAGAGAAAAGATGGGGTGCTAGTGCCCCCTGGTGGATTCATCCCTCACTTCACCTGACAAGGTACCTATCCCCAAATTCAGCTCCATTTCTTCCATTACCCCTGAATAGTTTGGTGTGTACTTCTTAAGAACAATGATAAACTCTTATATAATTTAAATTTTGGTTAATGTAATCAAATTATAAAGTTTAACACTGAGAGACTACTATTCTCTAATCCACACACTCCATATTCACAAGTGGCCAGTTATCCCCAAGGTGTCCTTTATACCTAATTTGTTTCCTGATTCAGGACCACTCTAGGACCATACCTAACACTGATTACCACATCTCATTAGTATCCTTTAACCCTGAGCCACTTCTCTGCCTTTCTGAATCTTTTGTGACCTTGACACTGTTGGCATTCTGACTAGTTATTTGGAAAAATGTCCCTTGACAGGGACATGTCTATTTCATCCTGGCTAGATTTATATGTTTTGGTCAGGAATTTCACAGGTGACAGACAGACTGGATCCATGTCTCACATCAGGAGAGACATGGGGTCAGTTTGTCCCAACGTTGGTGATGTTGACTCAAACTGCCCCACTTGTCAGCTAGAGTTGCTGACTTGCTCCTCACAGAAAGTGAGGCTGAGGGTCTTGACAAGTGCTCAGGATAAGTGAGGAAATTCTCTACCACCCTGGGTCTCCTCAGGACCTAGCCTAAGGCTTAGTGAAGGCCAACAGTGTTGGTATCCCCCTAACAAGTCCAGCTGCTTGGAGGATCCCTCCCTGCTTCCCCCATTTCTGTTAACTTTGAGACCACAAGTGATACATAAATATATTCCTTGGGGTTTTTTGTTTGTTAAGTTTCAGCTAAGATTAAACACCCCCCCCCGTGAATACCCAGCTTCCAAGTGTCCTCTTCCTGCTCTAGAAGTAACCATTGTTACTGGTTTGATGTGAGATGTGTATTTATATCCCCAGGAAAAATATGTACTGTGCTGTGTTCTTTCCACAAATGGTCATAGTATACAGACCAGTCTTACAGAAATTTCCCTGGCAGGACTTGAAGACCAGGCTAATTATTTTCAACTGCATCATCATATTCCAGCATGTGGACATACCAGAGGTTCTTTAGCTGACTCCTACCAATGGACATCCAGGTTGTTCCTAGCACTTTGCTTTTATGAAACATATCCCCCTGTGCACACAATCCAGGGTTTCTCCAAGGGAACTGCCTACTCTAGAGGCCTGAGCCACTCCTGGGAACCAGGAGCCCTGAGGACTCCTCTCCATGAGAGACAAGGAGGGTCTGATGGGCTTTCATTCCCTGAACCTATTAGCATTGTAGGACTTTCGGGAACTCTGCAAGCCACTGGGCTGAGTTTTCCTGTTTCAAGGAATCTTAGGACTCCTAGATAGGTGGAGACGAGGAGGACTTGATCTGGTTAGAGTCGAGACCCTCACTCCCCACTCCAACCACAGCATGCCTGACTTTCCATGGTTTTCTACTGAGTCTTTCAGAAGAGTCTCAGCTGTTTCAATTTCGCAAACCTCTGAAGCAGTCTGAACCCTTACTGGCACAAGTATCCCATCTGCACCATGCCTTCTGGGTCTCCTCCCGGTAGTGCAGCCTCCAGCTGTTAGTGATGCCAGGTGATCCTTACCAGGCTCCCAGTAGATGAACCCAAAGAGGGCTCTGCAGGTGCAGCCCTTGTGACACTGAGGTTGGGAGCTTGGTGTGTTCTTTGACCCCGTGGTCCCCTTTCCTGGGTCCTGGGACCAGCACTGCCCAGCATGCCCCTCTCCTACTCTTCTGGAGCTCTCAGTGCATTGGGATCTCTGTTTCACACACTTGGCAGCCTAACTCAATGTTCCCAGTGCATCCTGACATCAAGGAGTTTGTTAAATACACATTGCTGGGTCCCACCCCTGGGCTTCTGAATGAGTGGATTTGGAAGATCCCAGAAATGTGCGTGTTTAAAGCTTCCCAAGGGAATTCTGGGAGCAGGTCCAGATTCCTGCCTCGCAAATGGTTGACCACGGCTTCTCTACTTGGCAAGGCTCTGGCCCTTAATGAAGCTGGGAGGCCTAGAAAGTCACTCATTTTACCCAAAGTATACTTTGACAGTGGGCTCTCTGCATTAATTAGAACCTGCAGGAATCTTCAGTCCAAACCAGGGTTCCCCAAAGTTGGGCCTGCCACATGCCAGAAAACTTGTTCAAAATGCAACCCCCTCGCCATACACCTGCTGGAGTTGAACCTCTGAAGGAAGAGCCTGGGAATCTGCATTTCAGGCAAGTTCTCCAGGTAAGGTGGTTAAGTTCAACTCCCTCTACATCCCTAAAAGACAAGGGGAACCAAGGATCAAAAAGTAAATGTGATCTGTCCCCAGTCATGATATGTATTAGTGGCAGAAGTGGTCCCAGTCTGGAGTCTCCCCTCAGTGCAGTGCTCACTCCCAAGCACTCTGACAATCCAGTGCACCTGAGAGCTCTTGGGCTACCTGAGAAGCCACATGGCCGGCCTGGGACAGGCCTCTGCTGTGTCTGAAGAGCAGACACAGTTTATAACCCAGTGGAAATGATCTATCCTGACCAAGTCACCATGGTTGGCAGATTTGGGCCATGACTGCAAACCTCCCTGGCCCCACCCTCCCTCGCAGGCATTGCAAAAGGTCAGAAAGAAACAAACAGGGCCCATGTATACAAACAGAACCCCACTTTATTAGCAGTTAGTTCGAGATTGTACATTAATGGAAGAAAATTCCCACATTTAACGCAACCCAAAACGGCTGGTTCAAGAGCCCTCATCAGGTGAGCTGGGTAGCATCCCTCTCCACCCACTCCCCACCCAACAGGGAAGGAAACCTCTGCCTGCTCCCCAGGCGCGCCCTCCACCCGCTCCAGTCAGTCCTCTCCTCTCCCCAAGAAACGACATGAATTTCATGCACAAATTACAAAAGAGCCCTCTTGCCCCTAAGAAAAACTAGCCCAGTCATAGAAAACCCTCCCTGCCCTCAGCCTCCTCCAGGGCCAGGGAGAGGAGGAAGAGCGCTGAAGCCAACCCTCAGCACTGGCCACACAGTTCTCAAGCCAGTTCCACAGGGGAGCTGGTGCTCTGAGTGATGAAGATATCCAGCCCAGAACCAGTGAACCAGACCAAGTATGCCTGGGGGACCTAGGGATGGGTCTGGAGCCCCATCATCTCCAACTACAGCAAAGCTGCTTCCTCCTTGGACACTGAGAGTCCCTGATAAAGTCCCCCATCTACTCATAGGGGAGCTGAGGGCCTGGGAAGAAAACAGTCATGCAGCCACCAACTGTACCCAGTTTGGACAGAACTTCACAGCTCCTGCCTCTAGCCCAGTGCTCTTCTCTTCACACCACAGCTTGAAGGGAAACATTTCCCCATTTAGGCCTTTCCTGGCACATACCAGAGGCCCATCTGTGCTCCAGTGCACAAAGACCACAGGCCTACAGAAAGTGAAAACCCCAGGACCACAAAGCAGAGAGGACAGGGAGGGAGAGGGGGAGCGGAGAGAAAAAAGGAATGGGAAAGGGGGAGGGGAAGAGAATAAAAACAGCAGACAAAGAGATGGATGCTGTGTTTGGCGCCTTGTGGCCCAACTCCAGGGTCAAAGCAAGCTCCTCCATGCTGGAGATATTTCATTCCAACAGGCCCAGAGCCTGGCCTGGCTTCCACGTGTGCAGTCTCCTCCTACCACAGTGCCCTCAATCTTGTCCTCTCGGGCCCAGTGTGATGCCGCCTTCTCCACAGAGTCAGTCCCTCCCCTGAGTTCCTGCAGCTCCCACAGGCCCCTCAGCTGGTTTGGCACTGCTGCAGGTGACAGAGGAGGTACATCTTCGGCAAAAGGGAACTATCAAGTCAGCACAAAAAACAAAATTACCCTTGAAAATATGGGGGATAGAGAAATTGGTCATGTCAGACCATGAGGAAATAATCAGACAGATCTGGAATGTAGGACTTCTACGTGATAGCAGGCCTGCTGGCCCTAAAAACAATATATAAGTTTTAAAAGTCAGATGAGCAGTGGCAAGACTTTTCAGCAAAGAGATTTTTTTTTTAAATTACAAAATGCAATGTGTGCACCTTGATTGGATCCAATTCCAAAACCAGGTATAAATTATTTGGGGGACCTTTGAGTATAGATGGAGAGACGCTAGGAAATGACTGTTGTCTTGGCATTGGCTAGTGCGTGCGTGGAAGGCCCTTTCCCTTAGAGGATGCAGGTGGAAGCACCTAGGAAAAAGTCTCAGGACATTTGCAACTTGCTTTTAAACTCGGTACAAAGGACATTTAACATGGAAAGGGGTGGGGCACATCAGAATGCTAATAATTTCAAATCTAGATGCTGGGCTGTGGTCATTCATAATCAAATGTTTGGTAAAGCACATTTGCACTTGCTTTTCCTGCTAGCATACTGGTGGAGACAACTCCACGTTGGGGCCCATTTCTGTGGGTCAGGACAGTGTTTCTTTCACTGGGAATTCCTAGCTGCTGTCTCAGCAGACTCGGAAACATTAGCTGCTCATGTATCAAAGATCAAAGAGGCCATCTTTAAACTTCACACTCATCCTCCACGCAGATGCCCACACCGTGGAAGGCTCTAGACCCTGAGTGACTGAGGCAGCTGCAGAGGACGTTCCCATCTGCACCTCCCTGGTGGGAGTGGTCTGAGTCAGTTAATCTCGCTGGCCAAATGCTGATGCTGTCCCCCTCACTCACCTCCGAACTTCCCTCATCATAGAGGGGACCTGTGTACCCATTAGCTGGGAACTCCTAGGACAACTTACCTCCCTTCCTCCCTCACCCCACACCCGCAAGTCCGGGCAGTGTCTGGGCCCAGTGGGTCTTTGAGAAAGACTGGTTAGTGGGAAGGGACACAGCAGTAGTGACCTACATAGACAGACAGAATAGGTGGCAGGTCCAGTCTCCAGGCTCCCAGAAGGGCCTAGGCCAAAATCCAGGCTTTCTCCTCTCAGCTCACAGGGTCTCAAACCTGTCTGCCCCATGAGGGCTACTTTAGCCAGCCCACCTCAGCTTTCCAAGTTCGACTAGGACCAGGCATCCAGCCCAGAGAGCAGTGTGAGAATGTGGGAGCCTTAGTCCTCCCAGATCACAGGGTAGGTCCCTCATGAACAGATTCAGGAAGACAGACTCAGGGCTGTCCCACCCTGGGAGTCTGGCTCCAGCCTGCAGGAAGGCCTTCTTGAGCATGAGGCAGACTTGCCACCCTGTCCCCGGCACCGTGTTACTCGTCCCTGCTGTGCTCACAGAAGCACGACAGCCAGCGTTCACAGGCTCAAAGGCCCAGTAAGAAACATGATGGCAACATGGTACTCTGCACACGCTGAAACCACATGCAGTGTGCCACTGAGCAGCCGACATTCCCCACCCCAGCGGAAAACTTGAGAAGAAGGCATCTGCTCAGTTAATGAAGACAGACTTGGACCACAGGTTGAAGGACCTCCCCACATGGAAAGAACATGCAAGGGAAGCAAATGCAGATCTGGGAATGAGAAGGCTCAAAGGCACCTGGCTGGGAAGGAGTGGTTTGTCCCCATATCCTGGAATGACCACGGCTGTGACTGAGGGAAGGATAGGAACCTGGCATAGTGTAGGGTCTCAAGGGCGGGCTCAGAGGCAGTGTGGCACTGGAAGAAGAGCACTGGACTCAGAATTGGGGGCCCTGAGTTCAACTCTTGGCCCTGCTTCCAACCAGCTCTGTGACATGGGCCAACCAGGCCACTCCCCTTCCTGGGGCTGCTTTGTACCTGCTGAAGAACCCTTCCAAGCCTAAAATGCCAGGCTTCTGAATAGGACAAGCCTCTCCAGAAATAATGACCTGGGTGTCTGGTGGAAGTTGAATTGGCAGTTGAGGGGGCCAAGGAAAGACACTCCAGCCTCAGTCATTTCACATTGTTAAAAGGGGTTGGGGGCAGGAGCAGAACCCAAGAAGAAAACAGCCCAGAGATCCGGTGTCTGCAGGGGGCCTGGAGACAGCTCTGCAGGTCCCAGTGGGCATCCCACTCCCAGGGCAGCTCCCAACCTAGCACCATGTGAGGGGAGAGGGATGGGCCAGCTCTGGGTTCCAGCTCTCCAACCCTCACCCTGGCTCTTCCCTTTGGCCAAACCCCCCATGGTCACTGAGCTAAATGAAGCCAGATTTCCTGGAGAGAGTTGGTCTTCCTTGTTCATGTCACCACCTCTGTTCCCCTGGAGCAGCCCCAGGACAGCTGTAGCACTTGGGAGAGGGAGCAGAGACAAGGTGCACCTTTGTACTGCCTCCTTGAGGCTCAGACACATGAACTCGCACCCTCCCTCCTTCCTACCTCATTCTCTAGCACTAAGATATGATACCCTTTGAGGCTGGGGCTTGCCACCATTGTGTACAACTGAATTAAAAACAAACCCAACCAAAAAAATATAATATATATATATACACATTATATATATATATATATATATATATATATATATATAAAACACAGTGCGACCCCAGCACCCAGGGTATAAACTCTGGCACCAAGAAAAAAAAAATATTAAAATACTTTAGCTTCTTAGTATTTGGGAAGTTAAGGGGGGGGGGTCCTCTGGGGACCCTCGGCCACAGGTCACTGGGGCAAAGCAATGGACAGCAGTCTGCCATCTCTGCCGTGTCTGCAGGACCGAGGGAGTGGATATGGGACAATGTATGTACATGGGAGCATGGACGCTGGCCGACTCCTGACCTCCTCGGCCTTTCACCACAGGAAACACCACATGTCACATCTGGGGTGAAGAAAGGGGGCAGCCATAAGTCTCTGGGCCCAGTGGCATGGCAGTGCCCTAGGACCCTGTAGGAGACCTTGAGCACTGGGTAGATACTGTAATAACCACAGAGTCTTTCCCACAAAAGGAAGGTAAGATGTGACAGTATTAACCTAAATGTGGAAGTTCTGCCCTCTCTTGAGGTGGCCACCCTCACATCCGGCCCAGCGACTGCTTCTGAGTGCCCAGCTGACCCCTGGAAGGGCCTGGCTCGAAACACACTTGGAAGTCTGGTCTCTCTCCCTAGTTTGGCAAAAGGCCCATCTGGGCTCTTTTCCCTTATTGTCTAGAGAACAGAGAAATATGGCAGCTAATACTGAGGAGATACCCTGCTGAAGCAGGGAGTGGTGGGACAAAGAAGGGGGCATGGTTTGTAGAACACAGTGAGGGACAGGAGAGAGAGTCTCGTGGAACCTCTCTCACCAGGAACTGGCCTTCCACCAACAAGAAGTGGCCTCCCCAGGGAGGCTGTGAACAGAATGGACCTCTGGTGCCAGAGAGGTCCTGTAGGCCACAGATCCAGCAGTGGATGCTCTGAGGCGCTTGCAGACCTGCCCAGGCTTCTCCTGGCCCTTTGTGGGCCTCAGCAGAGTATTGCTCATAGTGCTTGGCCAGCCCAGGCCCAGCTCCTCTCTCTGAAGGTCAGTCTGGCTCAGCGCGAGGCAGGCGGGGCATTTCCTGCCGTCATAAGCGTTCGATCAGGTTTTGGTGACTGAGGCTACCTGGTGTTCTGGAGGTCCTCCCGCAGCCAAGTGGGCAGCGTTTGGCCCATCTTGTATAGCAGTTTGGAAAGCTCGATGTTGTGGTCCCGGTAGTAGTCCTTCAGGAAGGCTCGGGACTGCACAGAAAGAAAGTTCAGGTGCGGGCAGCATGCCCTCCCTAACACCACCATTCTCCCAACACCAGGCCATCCACCTCTTTATTCCCAATTCTCTTCTAAACAGTAGCCTCCACAGGAAACTCCCATATAGGAGGAACACCAAAACAGAGCTCATAAGGTCAAAACTCTCATGACAGGGAGAAAAGAGCATTCATCAAAACCAGAGGCAAACAGGAAGAGGGAAACATGACAAGATGCAGAGTCTGTGACCTTCCCCACAAGTGTTTTCACACAATGTTCTCTCGTACGAGAACAGCCTGTCCTTCTGTTCCATGGGTCCAAGTCCTGGGGCATGAACCCCAGCTCCAGAGACCTTGCCTCCCACTGAGGACTTTTCTAGTCTCCAGCCCATAATGATACCCTATGCCCTGAATACCCACTGTACCCCATCCTACACAAAGCTCTTCTGGCCTATACTCTACTCCCTGAGTACAGCTGCCTCCCCTTGGAGGAGTCCTCTAAGGCAGAGAATACTGTTTGCTCTGCTTCATCCTCAGCCCCATGGTACCACCTTCAGAAGAAGGTAATGAATATCTGCTGTACTAAATCAGTTCTGACCCACCATGCCTAGCCCATATTTCCTACTTTTGAGGCCACTGCATGCTGGGGTGGGGTAAAGGGGACGAGGCCCTCCCCCTTCGGACCCCTCCCACTCACTGTCTGCCATGGTCAATGTGTCTACCACTTACATCCAAGTCCATCTCCGGGTATTTCCGGCCCTTGCTTTTGCCCAGACACTTGGTTTTTCCTCCTTCAAGTAGCTGACACCAGAATCCTTTCTTTGGATCAAACCTGTGGAGATGGGAAGCCTGTAGGTGGGATCCAGTCAACCCATCCACCCTTCCCTGAGGCCCTGGTCACACACCCAGGAGCACAGGGAGTCCAACCCCCATACACTCTCAAACTGCACTGACTATGGAGTGACACTTGGCATCACTTGGCCCAGGTGCTGTCCCTGGTCTCCACTACACACACCTGACTATCTTCCAGCAAACGGCATCTCCCATGCTCCAAGTCTTCTCCCACCCAGGCTGAGCTGCCCCGATTCCTCCTGCAATCCATAATGTGAATTTTTTCCATCCCGCACAATGCTAGGAGACACTTTCTGAGCATCCTTTAACTCAGTGATGAGTAACTGTTTTTCATCAAGAAGCCTTCTTTACCTCTCCCAGCTTCAGGATGACTATGATGACAATGGTAACCATGGACTGAGTAACTGGCACATACCAAGCACTGAGCCAAGGGCTCCACAAGCCTGATTTAATTCAATTCAGTTGACCTAGGAGATAGGAGATTTTCTCCCTATCCCCAACATAAAGATGAGGAAAGTGAAGGCCAAAAGACTAAAAGGTCACAGAGCACAGTGAAGGGTTTGGGGTCCTAACCCACGCATCTGTAACACCATAGCTAGTGCCATGGTTTCTGTTTTTTCCTGCTTCGAGATGAGGGACTAACTTCCCTGCTCAACCTTCCACTACCACGACTTCCCCAAGAAAGCAGCCAGGGAGGGTGACTTTTTTCTTCCTTCTCTCGAACCCTTCCTCTGGCTATGTGTGTCACTTGTCTGTGACACAACACTGACAGGCAGGCTTTCCTACCCCAAGACCCTGTAACATAGGCTGGCACTTACTCACCCTGAGAAGACATTTTCAATGAACCTGCCCCAAGCTCTAGGTGGGGTTATTAGCTATCAACAACCATATTCTACCTTCCTTTTCTTAAAATTACATTTTAAGTCTAATTCTAATGCTAAGAAACCCTTGTGGGAATTATGGATGTTCATTGTTGGTCTAACTTATTCAGATGAAACATTCTGATTTGGGGCTGGGCTTGGGCTCACACCTGAAATCCCAGCTACTCAAGAGGGGAAAAAGTTAGTGAGACCCATCTCAATCAATAAGCCAGGCATGGTAGCAGGTGCCTATCATCCTAGCTATGCAGGAGGAATAAATAGGAGGACCACGGTCCAGTTCCGGCCTGGGCAAAATACACGAGACCTTACCTGAAAAACAAACTAAAGCATCATGTCACATGATGACATGGCTCAAGTGGTAGAACGCCTGCCTAGCAAACATAAGGCCCTGGGTTCAAATTCTAGTACATTACCCCCCCAAAAAAAAAGTAGAACAGAAACTGACTAGAGTAGAACATATTCATCACTCCTCTTTTTCTTAAAGTGCCACTACCTTAGGTTTCTTCTGCTTAACAGCCATCAGGGAAGTGTTCATGCTCTATCATACTTGCTGACTCTAATTAACCTGTGTCTCCCACATCATCATTCAAGCCTTTGTTTTTTTGGCCTTGGTCCCTGCTCAGGGATATCACCATGTTGAAAGGTCAACATGACACTCACGCCAAGGTTTTGTGGTAGTCAATGGTGTTGGTCACTCCAAGGAATTTCTGCACCGTGTCCATCACTTTGGCAGGTTCTGTCCGAAGCAGTTTACCGTCCAAGACCAGAATCTGGAAAGAAGGAGAGAGAAAGATGATCTGGACCTGCCTTCACTCCAGTGGCAATGGGTATCAGTGTCCATCACAGCAGGACCACCTGACTGCAAACTTGGGATCCTATACCTTCTCAAGTCCACTTCCTCCTCCACCTTGAATCAGCAGGTATCCACGCACAAGGCTCAGTCCTCAGTATCTAACTCTCTGCTCTCTGCCAGCTCCCCTGATTCATGTTATCTTCTCCCAGAATTTAAGCTATCAAGCAAACCTCGTTCTCAAATCTCTGCAGCATCCCCTTTCCAGCCTCTCGACAAGCCTCCAGTCCCCACACCACTCACGTGGCTCCAATCTCTAAGGCTTTTTTAAAAGGCCTTATGTGATCTGACCCTCCATCGGGTTCTCTCTCATCACCACACCCGATCTCCTCCTCCCAGCAGCCCATCTCAGGGCTTTCCAGGTCCCCTTGGGCTAATGTGAGCCCTCCAAGGGGCAGGGGCAGACAGCTACCTGATTGGCGTGAAAGGCGCTGAGCCAGCGCTCAATGTGGGTGGCATACCAGCCGGGGACCAGGCAGCGGTTCTGGAGGGCCCGCAGCTTGGAAGACACATCAGTGCCAGCTGTGATCACCTCATGGAAGGTGTACTTCAGGGCCACTGGGTCATCATGGGCCCGCTGGTGCTGCAGGAGAGGAAGAAGGTGGCCATGTCACATGGAGTGAACGAAGTGATTTCTGCGAGTCAACAACTCATAAGGTGGCCAAGAGATCCTGGGCTGGAATTGGAGCCCTGAGCTCTGCCTCTCACTGCTCTTTGGTCTCACGGAAGTCACTGCCCCCAGGGCCCCAGCTTCCCCATCTTTTCAAGACAGGAATTGAATCAGGTTAGGGTTTCCAAATGTTGGTCATTCACATAGTCTCTGCAATTCCTGCTGTACCACAATGTCCACATTGTTTTTCTTTTCACCTTTTTCTCATTAAAGAAAACTCAATTATCACCTCCATAAATAGAAAACTAGAATCAATTTCCACATTCAGAATGCAGCCATTGATAAATACAGTAAAAAGAAAGCAATGTTCTTAAACACCAAACACAAACGTTTGCTCCAGGCCCTGCACCCAAAACTCACCCTCTCTTTGTTAGAAAAGACAGGAGCCACTTGTACCAAACTGTGCTCAATTCTCCTTTATGGAAATCAGAAGGATTAGGAAGAAAAGTATAAAGGGAAAAACGCTAGGTCTAAACCACCTAAAACAACGCTGTGGGCCACCAGCATCTGCAGAAATTGCGTCCAGAGAGCAGGCACAGCAGTGCACAGCAGGCAGCAGCCTCCCCAACTGACCCCAGGCTCCACCATGGAACGGCACAGCCCAGAGCAAGAACAGGCAGCAACGAGCACAACAGCCTCCTGACCTCTTCTGAGGCAGACCACAACCCTTCTCCTTCTAGCACCTTCTTGGACCTTCCTTAGTATGCATTAATCTCCCTTCTCATTTCCTTTACCCCCGATCATAGACAGGAGAAAGAATAAAGTCTTAGATCTAGATGACCTGGTTTGAAGTGCCGCCACATGAAAACTGCTGAATCTTGGTCTCCTTGTGTGTGAAGGGGACACAACACACACACACCCTCCTCTGCCTTCCTTCACACACACACACACACACACACACACACACACCCGCCTTCCTTCTAGAAAACTGCTGCAAAATTCCAGTGAGGTGGCAGAAGTACTGTCATGAGTATAGAACAGGGGACCGAGTAGACCCATGATGCTTTCATGATGACCCTACATGTCCCCCCATGAAAGCCAGAGGCAGAGGGAAGACACACTGCCTGCTACATTCTGGGTTCCCATAAGGCAAAGCCCTCAGGAAAGGCGGATATCAGCACATAAGCTAAAGTCCTAGGGGATGAGTGGAAGATAGCTCTCCCCACCCCTGCCCCAACTAGGCTTAGGGAGTGGCCAGAGAGGTGAGAGTTCTGAGGGATCAAGAGAAAAGAGGATCTGCTCTGTGCCTGCTGGCACTGCAGGGGACACAGCAAGGCCCCAGAAGCACCTATGGAAGCCTGCAGATAGGGAGGCTCAAAGTGTGGCAAGGAGCTACCAAAAGTGGCCAGGCTGGAGAGGCCTTCCTGGCTAGGAGAATGAACCCCACCCCAGGTAATCAAGGACTAAGGTCCAGGAATTTCCTAACATCAAGAGCAGCCCCAGTCTGCTGGCTTGATAAGGGTGGACAGGAACTTAGCCTTGAGTACTGGGACCACTTCTGAATCAAAGTTCTTGGCATAACCCAAGGAAGACTGACAAGTAGCAAAGGGACCCCCCCCTCACCACCACTGGCCACCACACCCAACTGAGAAGCACTCCTATAAGCCCAGTGGACTGAACTCAGAAGAAATCAAGTCAGGTCACAGAAATGAAAGAAAGTTCAGGCCTCACAAACATGAAGTAGGGATGCATTTACAGCACCACTGGTAGGTCCTGAGTCCTTTCCTTCCCTGAGTTCTCATGCCACCCTCCCAGTATCCAGCAGGGAAGCAATAACCCAGCATGAGCCCACATGGCTGTCACCAAATCTAGGCTGTGTCAAGGTCTATCCAGCTCCACCTCTTATTGGTATCAGTCTCAGGCAGGACCCCCATTGATGCTGGGGGCAGGAAGTCAGCTGGTGATTGGCATATGGCATAGATTTCTACCTGTCACACCGCCACCGCCGCCACCACCACCACCACGCCAGAAGCACCAAGGAAGCAGGGCTTTATTCTTTTCATCACCACATTCCAGGTGCCTCCTTTGGGGTTGCACATAGTAGGTGCTTAATCAGTATTTGTTGAGTGAGTATCAGACAGAACCCTGCACCCCTACTCAGAGATTCCACCCCTGGCTGCTTACCTGGTACCATGAATAGGCCCGGTCCGCTGGGTTGATGAGGATGGTGAGGATCTTGGCTTTGGGCAGCAAGGCAGCTGCCCGCCGGGGCGCCACTTCTGAATCAAAGTAGTTGGCGCTTTTCTCAAAGTAGAAGTCCGAGGTGGTATTGGAGGGGATGGGGAAGAACTCCATGTACCTGCAGACAGTGACTCATGAGAGGCCGAGGAATGTGGGGGGATGATGATCACTGGGGGTACACCTCATCAGAAGGCCAGCAGGCCACACTGCTCCAGCCAACCAGGACTTCCCCCTGGGGGGGACGCTTTAGGGAATGGCCTCTTGGCAGGATCCCATCCCAAATTTGTTCCTTTTCAGTGCAGGCTGTGGGGTCAGGAGGATCTAAAGACTCGATGTGGTGTGGGTTGCAGGGCATATGGAGGGAGCTATACTGTTCCATCCTAAACTCTAGATGCTCCTGCAGCTAAACTCACTCTGCCCCTGGGGGCAAGGTGGGGCTCAGGTCCACTCTCCCTCCAACCCAAGGAGGGAGGACTAGTTAAGAGAGGAGGAGGCCTTCTGCTGCCTCCAGGGCAGGCTTTCTTTCCAGACTTGGGACGGTGCCCTCCAGTCTGTCACTGTGGACCTGAAGATAAGGAAGAGAGTCGTTTCCTACCACCCATACCACTGTCCCTATCCAGGTAACCCATTAACATAACAATAATAAATAATGTCAATACATGTACATACAAGGTTTTTTTTTTTAAAAAAAAAAAGAGTAGGGAAAGATGCAAATCGAAAAACTGAAGAGTAAAACCACACTATGCGGGCCACCACATGCTTGCGGTGAACTCTGGGGAAGACTGGTGGGAAGCTGCAACTCTACCAGCCTTCCAGGGAAGCCCCTGAAGGCCAGCTAGTGCCGCTGGAGGGCCTGCAAGAACACCTTCTCCCACAGTTGCCCACATGCAGAGGGAAGGGCCAGCAATCAATCAGACCACTTGGATTTTTGCCCCTGCTGTCACCAACAGACCTTGGGACCTTGGATGAGCACTACCCTCTCCTCTCCTAGGGCCCAGAGGTTCTGTGTAAGTAAGGGAGGAGCTGGACTCTGACTTTAGTGGTCTCTGACCTTAGGCCATACTGCAGAGGGGCAAAGTGCTTCTACATCAAGTGTCCTGTCTGTAACAACCCTCTTCCATCATGATTCAAGGGTCACTGAGACTTGTCCCTGTTTATAGGAACTTCAGCTGTGTGTGAGTAATCACCAGCTGTTTCCTGCTGTGGCCATGCAGGCCTCCCTTGCTGGCTCCATGATGGCCTTCCTGTCCTGCAGTGGACAGGACAGCCCACTCACCAGTCAATGCCTTTGTGATAGTTGTGGCCGTTAAAAAACTGGATCTCCTCAAAGGTCTCTGAGCTGGGGTAGTTGCTGCTTAGGTCCGGGTGCATGCCCAGGAACAGGTAGAGGGCTGTGGTGCCTGTGGGAGAAGAGACAGCTGAGGCCATGCCCCAGCCCCCAAAAGAGATGGAGTCTGGGTTCTGGGCTTAGCTCTGCAATATTCACTGGGAGGTCCCAGCAAAATCCCTTTCCTTCCCTGAGTGTTAGGTTCTTCATCTGTCCATAAAAGGAATTGCACTAAATCCAAGATGGCAAAAACAGGGTATGCATGTGGACACCCTAACTCCTGTAGCCTTTACAGATATTACTAATCCATTACAGCATTCATCATTACTAAACAAGACTTGACATTGGAATTCTTCTCATCACAGCACTATGGTAGCCATGTTCAATGGACTACTGTATCTGCAGAATCTCAGAACTAGATGCTTCCTGCTGTTCTTTTCCAGCTGTGAACCTCTGTCTACCCTTGCACTTAGGAACAGCTCAGGGAAAAGGAAGCTGACCCTCTAGGTCTATTAATGTGACTTTTTTTTTTTTTAAAGACAGAGTCTTCTATGTAGTCCAGGCTGGTCTTAAACTCTTAATCCTCCTGCCTCACCTCTAGAGTACTGAGATTACAGGCATGTGCCATCACACATCTAATATGAAACCCTTGAGGAGCCAAGAACTCCTCTTGCAGGTGCTCTCCCTTCACTCATGTTCTCTCTCGCATCCCTCCTCAAGAGACCCTCACTTATTCCCTGGGTGCTCTCTCTGTGACGAGAGCCTCCAGAAGAGAAGGAAGCTGTAGTTTAGTGACTGTAAGTAAGGCTTTAGAATCACAGAGACAGGTTTTAAGACCTAGAACTGTCACTTCCTAACTGAAGGTGTTGCAGGAAATCACTTAACTTCTCTGAGCCTTGAGTTTTCTAGGTTTTGGGGTTTTTTTTTTTTTTGGTATTTAGAGACAGGGTCTCAACATGTAGCCCAGGCTGGTCTCAAACCTTCTATCCTGCCTCTGCCTCCTGAGTGTTGGACTTATAGGTATGAACCACCATGCCCAGCTGATGTTCTTGTCTGTAAAATGTGAGTACTCATTTATGCCTTACAGAAACGTGTGCGTGGCAAATGCTCAGCAATTACTCAGTGCTTCCTTCTCCTGCACCTCTGGCAGACAGCACTAACTGACACATCTCTTTGCACTGAGCCACTTTTTCTTGGCCCTGCTCAAACTTGCAGAGCAGCTCACCTGGGCTACCTTCCTGCCTAGGCTCAGACTCCCAAGAGGACAGAGAGAGAACTTGATGAGGCTGTGGTTCAAGACAAATAGGAGAATGCCATACCTACCCTCCACTCCCTTCCCTCCTCCACACTGATAGGCAATTTGTATTTACCCCAACTTTGCTCCCATTTTTGGGGAAAGGAAGGGCAGAGTATTTGGGAGTGGGACCAGGAAAGGGTGGTCCCCAGAATTACATGGCTGACATAGCCTGTGGGGGAGGCTGGGTGGAATGACCTGCCTGTTTTCTGGGGGCCGATGATGAGGAGCTTTGGGAAGCGGTCACATGTTTTTTCCTTGGACCAGATGTCTTTGTGGCGTTTGTCCTCGCAAGGGTCCTAAAACAACAATGGAAGGGATGTGAGGGAGACCCGAGAACCCACGAATGGACTCCCACCACACATACATATGTGGCCATGACCAGCAGGCATAATACCTGCATGTGACCTCATCACCTCCAGACACCAAGCTGCAACAGGCAGGGACTACTTCTACTTAGCATCATGCTCCCCACAGAGCCTGGCCAAATGCCCAGCTGCATAGTTGGCACTAAGAGGAACTCCCGAGTACTTGTTGAATTTAACTAGACAAGCAGTGTCTCAAATGAATCATCAAGCTTTTCCTCCAGAGTCCAGAGTTAGTAAACACTATAGGCTTTGGGTAACTGTCCAGTCTCTGTTGCCACTACTCCACTCTGCTGCTGTGGCACGAGTGGTGCCTGCAACACTCATGAGAATGAGTGGGGCTGGTTCCAACAAAACTTTCTTTATAAAAACAGAACATGGGCTGGTTTTGGCCCACAAATTACAGTCTATGGACCCCTGGTCTGAACTATGAGACTGCCACTGAGCCCAGCTTCTGCTCCCAACTTTTAACAGTCCCCAGGTGTAGTCCTTCCTAAGGACGGCCCCAAACCATCCCTTGAGTTCCCTTCCCAGTGGCTCAGAACTGCTATAGTTAGGGGACTTGGGAGAGTCCCAGTCAGGGTGGTCGCTCTCGACACTTCAGCCATGCTGGGTTCATCTGCAGTTCTTCAAGGCTGTCTTTTCCAAGACTGTGAATGAGTGTGCATGTTTGCAGGAGGCCATGTATGTGTACATACATGTGCACATGTGCTCACGAGTGGTGTGCCCATGCTGGTGAGCAAACAAGCATGGGAGTTTCTGCTCAAGAAGGCATGAGTATGAAGGGTGAGCCTCAAGACCATGCCTGGAACACATGTTTGTGAGCAGAGGGCATTCCATCCCTGCAGCAAGGCACCAGGCTGCCTTGCCCCACCTGCCAGAGTGGGTCCTTTTCCTCAGCGAAGATCTGGAAGTACTTCTGGGCTAGCTGCACCGGAGGCAGTGTCTGCAGCCGCAGGTTGGTCCAGGAGTGCAGGAAGCGCACCAGGTGCTTGAACGTGTACAGGCCCAGGCGGTCATTCCCATAATTGGACAAGTGTGTCATGAAGATGCTGATCTGCTCCAGGGGAGGGGAAGAGGAAGACAGCAGCTGCATCAACATCTGAGCCACCCTCATCCCCACTTCTAACCCCTCTAGCCCTGCCTCAGCTTGCAGGCCCACCCAAAGACCAGTGCAAGGTACACTGGGGCAATCAACAACCTCACTGTGTGACCTCAGGCTGGGCACAGGTAAGGTCTTAATGGCCTCCAAATGTTACAAGCCTGGGGTAGGAGGTTGGCTTAATGCAGTGATTTGTAAATCACAAATATATAAAGTTGGGGGGTGGTGGGATACATGGAAGATGAGGAAATCTTAGCCCATTGTGCTAGCTAGACAATATGATTATTTCTATTTTACACATCAGGAAAAAAAAGTCCAAAAAGCTCAAGTAGAGAAGGAGAGAGAGGGAGACAGAGGAGAGAGAGAGAGAGAGAGTATACATGCAGGTCTACACTTGAACAAAGACTGGAAAAAAGAACATGCAGAAAAATACTAACAATGCTGTATTGCAGCACATGATCATGAAAGACAGGAAAAGAAAGCTCCAATGCTTTAGTCCAGCTCACACAGCAGAGAAGGTACAGTGCCAGGGCTGGAGAGTGGATCTCCTAATTTCCAGTCCTTCACACTGGCCCCTCACCATTCCCCAGCCCAGAAGGCCTCCTCAGCTGCAGACAGGCTGTCAACAGCCCCTCCCCAAGCCAGCTGTGGGCTGCAGAGCACTCACAGGATTGAGAAGCACGGTGAGGAAGAGCTCGCCCCCATTGATGATTTTGTCCAGCTCACTGGAGCCACCAGGGTACTCATTGTAGAAGATGGTATGTGTGAAAAGGCCACAGGTCTGCCGAGGGAGGACCTGGGATGGAGAGGGAGAAGAGCCATGGCATCTCCAGACAGTGAATGTAGTAGGAGAGGTCTTCCCTATCCTCTTGTGCAGACACAGCCCCTACTACAGGAGTCCTTGCTCCCAAACACTCTGTAGGCTGTGACACTGCCTCACATGAACAACAGGTCCTTACCAGTTTACATTTTGCTGTTATTCTTTGTACAAAATAAACAGACCCTACGTGATGTAGGAGAATGAGACAGTTTCTGGAAAACTGACTGCTTGCAGCAAGAATCCTGTACCCTCTAACATTGCTCTTCAGGGCATACTCTGCCTAGCCTGCACACTAGTGTCATGCATTGACTTAGCTACCTACTGTCTCTACTCCAGAAACCGGACTCTAAGAGGAAAAGAAGAGGCCTGCCTTGTCACCACCTAATGCTCAGTGTTAATGTGAGCCCCTGATACTGAGGAAGTGGATGGATGGGTGGGTGATGGATAAAGACAAACTTTGCCTTCCCACACTTGCCCCATCTTGACTGACAATACATCCTTCCAATGCCTCAGGCCAGAAACCTTAGCATCACCTCTGACTTCTCTCTCTCTTACACCTAGAATCACACTTATCAACAGGTCCTACTGGCTGTAAATTCTAACAAGTCCAACATACAATTACATTCCCACCTTGTACTGGGTCCATTTCTTATCTGGAAGAGTGTAATGGCCTCCTAACTGGCCTGCCCGATTCTTTTGTACCCTTTACTCCACTCCACACCAATAGACAGAAGGATAGAAAACTCTTTTAAAATATGAATCAGGTCATGCTCCATTCAAACCTTTCCATCTCTGCCTAAAAGTGATGGCCAGCCTTCCATGGCCTTATACCAGCTGGACCATTACCCCTCTGACATCCTCTACCATCTGCGTGTCACTCACTCCCTTCAAGACACACTGCCTCCTAGTTGGTCCTCAGACACACTCAGCACAGGCCTGCCTCAGAGCCTTTGCACTTGTGCTGCTTTCTCTGCCTTGCATGCTCTTCCACATGTAGCAGGTGGGAGGGGAGACCTTCCTAATCCCTTACTGAAAACAGCCCCTTACCTCCCTTCCCTGCTAGATTGTCTCCAGGGCACCTTTCACCATCTAACCATTATATGCATGAGTGTCTCCTGCCACTAGAATGCCAGGTCTACAAGGCCAGGAACTTCTCTGAGTTTTGTGCATTTCTGTGCCTCAGTCCCTAGAAGGACAGACACATGGTAACAGCTCAAGAGAAGTTTTTAAATGAGCAAATGAGTGTAACAGAGGCCTGTCCCACATCCTCACCAGAACCCCCTTTAAAGCATGCTCACTCCTAGACCCTCTGTCACAAAAGCTAAGATGTTCACGAAAAGGGGCCATGACTGGCAATCTACCTTCCCCATGATGGAGCCTCAGATGCCAAGGTGGCAGAAGAAAACAGCCTGCAGCCTCTATGCCAGCTAGCCACAGCTCTACTTCCCAGAACAGCACATGCACATACCCCATGAAAGTGTGGGCCCACAGATCCCCCACCTCCCTCCTGCTGTGGACCACTTGCCATGATGCTGTTGTGGATGAAGCCGCGGCGGTAGCGGGCTGGCTTCAGGTGGGGGTACTCCTCTGTGCTGGTCACACGGATGTTCCACACCTGCTTCCAGGCCTCATACAGCTGCATATGCACAGGGTACACACCCGAGTGGTGGGGTGCCACTGCGTACCCCATGTCTGTGGGAATGCCATGCTCCTGGGGAAAGGATGAGCAGGGCAGGATGAGAATGGGGCCTTTCCCCTTGGGGCTTTAACTCCCCCTTGTAGAATATGAGAGAAAAATCAGAGGCTAGAATGGCAGGGTAGTTGGTCTAAGCCCTCATGGTACAGATAGGGAAAGCAAGGCCTGAGAAAGAAAGGAAGCTGCTCAGAGTGAGTGACTGGCACAGCTGAGACTAAAACCCAGGTCCTGACTCTCGGTCAGGACCCATGCCTTCTAGCTCAGAGGTGCATGCACCCCAGAGTACAGGGCAAAGACAGGGTTTTTCCTGCCTCCTCTTGCCTCTGGTTGTTCAGTGAACACAGGCTAGTCTACTGAGCAACCATCCCCTCCTCACTGAGTACCTCTCCCTGTTTTCCTGTGCCTCTGCCCTAGCCTGGAAGTGAGAGCTTGGACTCAGGAAACACAAAGACCTGGGTTTAAGTCCTGGTGTAACCTCCCTGAGCTTCAGTTTCTGGTCTGTGAAGTGGGGCTGTTTTCTTAAATTAAGAGTACAAGAGACAGAGACTATAAAGGGGCTCACCTTAGGCCCCGACACAGAGTTGGTATAAAAATCTGTCCAGCTGAACAGATATGCTTGCTAAAGCAGCAAGAGGCTCACAGTCCAGGCCCCCAGCCCAGCCCCTAGGCACCCCAGCTCTGCCCTGGAGGGAATCTTACTCACGACAGCGAACTTCTTGTTCAGGGCCATCTGCTCAGCTAACACAGACTGATTGTGGAACAGGTGAGGCTGCATGTGGCTCCACATGTGGGGGAACCACCAGAACTCCTTCACATAGGACAGCAGCAGGTCATCTCCAGCATCCTCGGCATCAGTACCTGCAGGGTGGCACAGAGCACTCTCAGCACAGATGACTTGGCCATAAGGCCCTCAAACCTGGCCTGAGCCTTCAGATAGGGTGCACAGCTACAACCCATTCAGGAGCTGCTTGGGAGAATTCTTCAAGCTCACCCCAGGAGAAGACAGTCTAGAGTGTGCCCTGCCTCAATGAAAAAACGTGCAGAGAACTTCTCTCAGGGACTTTGGGGTTTGGCATCAACAATCTCAATTGTTTCCTCCACTTCTCCCCTGCCTTCTCTGATCCTATCTCAGTGATCCAAATGGGGTCATCTGCCTTTCACCCACTGATCTATGTAAGCTCTTTGTGTGCACACAGGATGCGTAACACTCTGTCTCATATTTGTTACTACAACGACCTCTGACATTTCTTAGCATGTTGTCTCTGACAACCAGGATAGTTCCTATTTGGCTTTGGCTATGTTGCTCATTGTCTCCCTCCCTCTAATTGCTGGCCAAAATGGTTCTGCCTAGAATTCCAGAGAGGCCACCCTCACTATGGTGAGCAGAAAGCACCAAGATGGATGGTCACTGCAGATGACCAGTCTAGGGGCTGTTCTCCCTGCACAGTCCTAGAAGGGCAGCATGTGAGGAACCTGAGAGAGCCTAAAAGAAGGCAAGCATGAAGCAGGCAACCTACAGCTCTCAACCTCAAGCCTTCTGCCTCCAAACTCAACTCAGGACACTGGTCACGCTGGGGTGGGTACAAATGCAAGGCGCCTTCACCTTCTATGCTACACACCCTGTAACATTCTTAAAATTCAACTGGTTTCTTTTACAAGCAAAAATAATACAAATAATTTTACAAAGTGGAGGGTGGAGAAGAGGTACACCTAGAACAGTATAGCCTTCAAGGCTGGGGGTAGTCAGGAAGAAGGGTGCATCTGCCTGTTGCTGTGACTACTCTTGTGGTCCACTGGCTCTGGGGAACCAGAGGGGTCAGATGTGACCAAGTGTGACCAGCCAGTCTATCTGGTGGCCTGTAGTAGTGTTCCCAGGAGGTGGCTTGGAGGAGCCCCTGAACCTCCATCCTGAAAGGTGCTAGTGAGAACAGGGGCAGGCCACATACCTGTATGGAAGAATTTCCCTGAGTAGCCCAGGTTGAAGGTGAAGTTTGGGATGTGTGTGCGTAGTTCATTTTGCGTATCAAACAGGGCCTAGGAAAAGCAGAGGAGAAAGGAAGGGGTGAGGGAAAGACAGGAGCTCCCACTCCTTCCACTAAGGGCCCAAGGAGTGTCTTGTTCCAACAGAACCAGCTACAGAGTTGGAAGGCCCAGTGAAAAATGAAAATGTGGGAACCACAGGGCACAGTGGATCAGGCCTGTAACCCTAGCTGTACAGGAGGCAGAGATCAGGAAGATCGAAGTTCAAGGCAGCCTAGGAAAAAAGTTTGAGACCTCATCTCAACCAAAAAAAGGTGAGCAGTGGTGCACACCTGACATCCCAGCTATGTGGAAAGCATAAATAGGAAGACTGTGCAGGGCACCTGTAGCTCACACCTGTAATCCTAGCTACTTGGAAGGCTAAGATTGAAAGGATCACAGTTCTAGGCCAGGAAGGGCTGCCAAGACCCCATTTCCAAAATAATCAGAGCAAAATGGACTGGAGATGTGACTCAAGTGCTACAGCCCCTGCCTAGCAAGTGAAAGGCCAAGTTCAAACCCCCAGTACTCCCAAATAAAGGAAAAAGAAAAAAAGAAAAGAAAATTGGGACCCTTGTTCAAAAGGTTATAAAGAATATCAAGAAGCAACAGCAAATTGGGCATAGTGGCTCACACCTATAATCCTAGCTACTCAGGAGGCAGAGACCTTGAGGATCACAGTCCAGGCATAAACAGTACATCTTATCCCAAAAACAACTAAAAAAGCAAAACAGGCTAGAGGCTGACTCAAGTGGTAAATCGCCTGCCTTGCAAGCTTAAGAGTTTAAGGCCCTGAGTTCAATCCCCAGTCCCACAAAAAAAAAAGAAGAAGAAGAAGAAGAAGAAGGCAACAGCAGAGCACTCAACCACATATGAGCCCCACCCATGCACAGGGTCCTGTGTGACAGCATAGGATGCACATGTGTGAAACCAGTCTGCGCTGCCTCCTCCAGCAAGCCTCTAGCAGAAGACGTGGACTGCAGTCAGGTCTGCTGTATGCCTTGAAAAGCTTCCAACTTCTCTAGGCCTCAGTTTCCCCAAATGCAAAAGGGGACAATAATCTCTCTCTCCCTCATGGGCTTTTAGAGAATTAAGAGAGCTACAGCCTATAAAGCTGCCTGATATTTGGTTAAGTGATAGAGACTGGTAGCCACCGCCATGTCTGTGGTCACTGCTACCAAAAGCCTTGGTGTCTTTATGTAGATTTCTCCTTCATGGTGGAATGCAAGACTGCAATGTTCCTATGCTCAGCACACCTAGCTTTTGCAAGTCCACGAAGGGAAGCTGACCCTGTGAACACAGGCAGCTATACTGTGGGGAGAGGAATGCATGGTTCACCAGGCTGTTAGGGACCCTGCAAAAGCCTACTTTCACAGAATGTTGCAGACTAAAAGTTCTGGCCCTCCAGGGACAGTGTTGTCACCACTGGCATATAACCAAGGCCATGCCTTGTAGACACGTGGCCTTGGACAAGCTCACCTCTCTGAGTCCTAGTGTCCTCCTCTGTGAAATGGGACTCATGACAACGCCCACTGCAGCAGGCTGCTGGGAGGACCAAATGAGGCCCTCACAGAGAGGGCTGAGTCCAGAGCCTGGCATTTCTGGAGCCCTGAATACAGGGTTTCTGTCAGTACTATGTAAATCATGGTGCACTGCCAGTACTGTACAAGCTCATGGGATGACACACCATGAAGAAGGGCACAGTTGTCACCCACGGTTGGGACTAAAGAGGAAAACACCCTGCCCCTTCTGACTCATGAGAATGTTTGATAATAATAAGACCCTGGCTGCAGATACACTTTGTTATCTGTGCTGAGCTTAGTTCATGGAAGAGGATGCCTCGATCTGTGGTGTTGTACACACATGCCTCCTAGCTGCTATTATACCTCTCACTTTAGAGATAAGAGCCAGGCAGAGTATTTGGGAGGCTGAGGCAGGAGGGTCATGAGTTCCAGGCCAGCCTAGGCTACATAGTAGCCCTAGTTTCAAAAAAAAACCAGAAGGAAGAAAAGAAGAAGAAAACAAAGTGGGAAGTTCAGAACTTATAATGATGCTGTGTGTCCCACAGCCAGACTTCCTTGTGGGCTTATTCTGAACGAGTTTCATGGGGATTCCCCTGCACAGGCATCATGGGCCTAGGCTAGAGCAAGAGAGAACCAGCTTGGGCCACTGGAAGAGCATCCTAAAGTAGGAAACAGAGCAATCTATTTGATAGAGGTAGGTCATAGCATCATATGAAGATGTTCAGATGGGAAGGCTCAACTGGAAAGAACTTTAAATCTTCCTTCAATAGGAAAGCCCTTGAGGAAATGAAATGAAAGGGAAGAAAAACAATGAGTACAAGCAAATCAGGTTGTTCTCATTCTCACTCCAAAAGTGACCTGCTTTCAGTCTACTGAAAGTGTATTGCAGCTCATGCCTATAATCCTAGCTACTCAAGAGGTAGATAGAGCTCAGGAGGATCTCAGTTCAAAGACAGACCAGGCAAATAGTTTCTGAGACCCTATCTTAAAAAACCCATCACAAAAAAAGGCTGGTGGAGTGGCTCAAAATGTAGCCCTGAGTTCAAACCCCAGTATCTACCAAAAAAAAAAAAAAGAGAGAGAGAGAGAAAGTGTATTGCTTTACTAATAAACTTTACTATCACTTTCGCTACAAAAAAAAAAAAAAGAAACCTGAAGACCAATGGAACTGAGGATCCAGATATGAATCCATTCAACTATGTCCACCTGATTTTTGACAAAGGCACCAAAACATACAATGGAGAAAAGACAGCCTCTTCAATAAATGCTGCCAGGAAAACTGGGTATCTGCATGCAGAAAACCAAAACTAGACCCATGTCTTTCATCCTGTACAAATATCAATTCAAAGTGGATTAAGGACCTTAATATAATACCCGAAACTTTGAAGCTAGTGCAGGAATGAGTAGGAAATACACTGGAACTTATAGGCATAGGCAGTAACACCCTAAATAGAACTCCAGTGGCTCAGCATCTAAAAGGACTAAAAAGCTTCTGCACAAAAGAAATGGTCACTAGATTGAAGAGGCAGCCCACAGAATGGGAGAAAAATTTTGCCAGCTATACATCTGACAAGGTATTAATAACCAGAATATACAGGGAGCTCAAAAACTAAACTCCCCCAAAAAAATCAATGATCCAATGAGGAAATGGGCAAGTGAACTGAACAGAGATTTTTCAAAGGAAGAAGTCCAAACAGCCAAAAAATACATGAAGAAATGCTCAACATCCCTGGCCATAAAGGAAATGTCAATCAAAATCACGTTAAGATTCCATCTCACTCCTGTTAGAATGGCTACCGTCAAGAACATAACAAATGTTGGTGAGGATGTGGGGAAAAAGAGATCCTCATACACTGCTGGTGGGAATATAAATTAGTATAACCACTATGGAAAACAGTATGGAAGCTCCTCAAAACACTAAAAAACAGAACTGCCATATGATCCAGCAGCACCATTCCTAGGGACATACCAAAAGGAATGTAAATCAGGTTACAATAAAGGCACCTGCACACTCATGTTTACTGTAGCACTATTCACAATAGCCAAGCTATGGAAATAGCCAAGATGTCCCACCACTGACGAATGGATTAAGAAAATGTGGTATTTATAAACACTGGAATTTTATTCAGCCACAAAGAAGAATGAAATTTTGTCATTTGCAGGTAAATGGATGGAATGATGGAACTAGAGAGTATTATCTTAAATGGAGTTAGCCAGGTTCAGAAAGTCAAGGGCTGCATATTTTCTCTCATACATGGAATATAGGCCCAACACAAATAACAAGCAATATCTATATATATATATATATATATATTCATACACACACACACACACACACACACAGAGCATGTATCCCAAAGTGGGACTGGTAGAGGAGACCAAGGGAGGAGGAAACGAAGGAAAGAAAGATAGCGAATAATAAAGAAGTACGTCACATCATGCAGGAACAAGATAAAATGAAACAACACAGGATGGAGGAAAGGTGAGGAAGTGCAGTGGAGGGGTTACACTGACTTAGGTACAATGCATGTACAGGAATAAAACCAAGGCAAAAATCCCACTGAACAACAAGCAGACACCTAAACAATGAAGGACAAGAATGAAAAACAGGTCACGCTAAGGGAGGGCCACTAATGGGAGAGGGAGAATAAAAGAAGGAAGCAAAGAAGGTGAACATGGTTGATGTACTTTCTATACAAGAATAAATACAAAACTTTTAAACCTGTCAAAATCACAAGAATGGGACTAAGGTAACAAAGAGAAAAATGGACGGGATGAACCAATTCAGGATACAGTACATATATACATGAAAATTTCATAATAAAATTTCCTGTATAGATATCTTAAACAAACAAAAATGTCTTTTTTCAAAAACAAAGGACAAGAAGGCAAACAGGTCCTATCTGGGGGATGGCACCAGTGGGAGGGGGGAGGACATACAAAAGAGTGTAGGAGGGTGAATATGGTAGAAATATTATGTATGAAAATGGAAAAAATGAGACCTGTTGAAACTATTCTAAGAATGGGGGAGGGGATAAAGGAGTATGATGGAGGGGGTAAATTTAACTAAGACATAATATAAGCACTTTTGTAAATGTCACAATGCACCCCCAGTACAAAAACAGTAATTTAAAAAAAGACTCGCTTTGTAAAATTGATACTGTATGCTCTTTTTTACTATTTTAAATTTGAAACACTAATAAAACCTCCAGATGGCTACAAAAAAAAAAAAAAAAAGCACATCAAAGCTTGCAGTAAGAGCACCTGCCTAGTTCAAACCCCACTGCTGCCAAAAACTAAACAAAAAAGCTGCTGGCTTGTCCAGCTGCAGCAAGCAGCCTGGAGGGTGGAGCCTGGCCAGAAGAGCAACTAATAAAACCTCCAGATGGCTACAAAAAAAAAAAAAAAAAAGCACATCAAAGCTTGCAGTAAGAGCACCTGCCTAGCAAGCATGTGGGCCCAAGTTCAAACCCCACTGCTGCCAAAAACTAAACAAAAAAGCTGCTGGCTTGTCCAGCTGCAGCAAGCAGCCTGGAGGGTGGAGCCTGGCCAGAAGAGCAGGACCTCTCCCCCACCCCACCCCTCAACCCAGCACCTTTGTGAAACCCAGGGGTGCACAGGAAACAGCAGGTGCTCTTTACAGCTGAGACTTAGTGATGGGAAGTGACTTGCCCAAGTCACCTAATCAATCAGGGTCACATTGGGATTTGACTCAAATTAGGTATCAACTTCCCACACAATGCCAGCTTCCCAAGTCCATCTACTCTGATTGTCTCCTCTGGGGTGTGAACAGGTGCAGAAAGTTCACTTTTAACAGAGACAGGGGCACAAACCCCACCAGCACCTTTCTTTCAGGCCACAGGTCAACCCTACCAGGAGACTTCAGGTTGGTGGAAAAATACAGCACAACAGACCTGCATTGCTCAGGGAGAGAAGTATTCCTCTCTGTTTAAAGCCTCCCGGAGCATCAAAGAGAGGTCTTGGTTTAGTGCTAATCTCCTGTAAGAGAGGACACTGGGTCAGCAGGCAGCAGTGTCTCTGGGAATTTAATCCTGTTTTGTTTCCACTGCATTCATTGTTATGACTGCACTCTATCACAGCAACCAGTACCAATGCCCACTTACACTTGGAGGCCATCTCCTTTGCAAACAACCTTCAGTAAAATCACTGATAGATAAAAACTGAATTTTAAGCAAGGCTTAATGGTCTTGCTTTGCAGACTTCTCTTTCACAGTGACAGTGCCTATGTATATAAAAACTTGTGGTTTGCAAAGTGCTTTTCCATGCAGTTTTGTTTGGTAAACGTATTTTGAATTCAACACATGCATTCCTCTATCTGTAATACCTGTTAAAATGGGCTGAAAGTGTGATTCAAGCTCTCATTCTTGTTTAAGAATTTTTATAGGAGCTCTGATTTTTTGTTATTGTTGTTTGGTGGGACTGGGGTTTGAACTCAGGGGTTCACCTTTGCAAAGCAGGAACTCTACCACTTGAGCCACACCTTCAGTTCTTTTTTGCTATGGTTATTTTGGAGATGCATCTCATTAACTATTTGCCTGGGCTGGCCTCAAACCACAATCCTCCCAATCTCAGCCTCCCAAGTACCAAGGATTACAGGCATGAGCCACTGGTGCCAGCAGGAGTTCTGATATTGACATAAGCATTTTTCAGGGTTAAAAATCATATATGGATTAAAAGATAAACAACACGCACAGCTCCCACATTTGTGTTTCAGTGACTGGGTTTCTTCTTCTGCAGATAAACACCTGCACTCATACCCCAGATGCAAAATTTCTCTGATTTAATACTTCAATAAAATTTTAAGTGACATTTACTTCTAATGAGATAATTAATAAAAACTAGGTAGTGGGGATGGAGGCTCGTTTTGGGTAACTAACAGCCAGAGCAAAGTCACGTTGAAGTACATGAAGACTTGAAGTTTCGTGAGGACTGCCTTACCTTCACATCCTCCACCTTCATGCGTGTGCCCTCCTTGCCCACGAAGATGTCGTCAATGTCCACCAGGATGTAGCGGTCCAGAGGCAGCGAGAGGCGTTTACCCGTGAGAAAGGCCACTGCATCCACAAAGACGAGTTTGTGCAGCCAGAAGTTGAGGTTGTTGCCAAACAGCACGCGCTGGATGCCGTCGTGGAGGCCCAGGTCCTGCACCACGGTGGCGTGCAGTGCAGCATGTAGGCTGGTGTCTGCACCCAGGTGTGGGATGGACTCAGATGAGCGCGTCTTGGCCAGCAGCACTGGCTCATAGGTGGAATGGTTCGACTGAAACACTGTCCAGTCCTCGCCAGGCAGTACACCCTTTTCCACCTCACTGGGCCGTGTCACATAGAGCAGTGGAGACTTAGGGTTGATGCTGCAGTCCTTCAGGCCCAGGTTCGAGTGCAGGAAGAGGGGGAAGCCCTTGAGTTGCGCACTCAGCAGGCTATTCTCATTGGCCTGCAGCCAGGGTGGGGTAGAAGGGGGAATAGCTATCAGGTCCAGAACTGGAGGGACACAGAATCTCAGATGTGGAACAAGAACAGTAACATCAACAATATTTGTATCATTCACTGAAGGCTCACCACATCCCTCCCCATTCACCCTCCCACCAACCCCACAATGATACACCAGTAAACACGTGCAACTTAAAGCCAGGGAGTGGGTTCTGCACACTCTGCATGCAGGAATGCTGTTAATCTTCCAAGTGACCCCAGAATGCAAGTATTGTCGCACCCATTCCACATATAAGGAGACTGAGGCCCACAGAGGTTAAATTGCACAGAGAAAATCCTAGCAGTCTACTACCACACTGCCTGGCCTCAGGCAAGTTATGCTACTTCTCCAGGCCTCACCTTCCTCTGCCCCACAGCATCCCCAGTTCCTCACACAATCCTGGCACCCTAAGGCCACAGGAGTGTAGCTCCCATGCTCACCCAGTCCCTGCCAGTGTTGAGGTCTCCAATTCCCTTTTCCCAGGGCATGCTGCTGCCCAGCTCCCTGAGGGTCTGCAGACAGGTCCCATGGCACCCCACTTCTCTTCCCTGGCCTCATAGCCCCTGCCCTTCCATGCCCTCCCTTACCCTTCTAGTCACCTGACTCTAGGTACGGTACAATTGGTCCTTGTTCCTGTGTCCATTCCATCCCTTCTTCTTGTGCTGGCAAGCCCCTGCTTATTCTTCAAAACCCAACACATATGCCCTCTTCTCTATATTGGGACCATGTGCAGGTGAAGGACATGAAGGTAAGGCAGGGCCTTGCAAGCGTCAAATCTTTGTGTACCCTATACCACAACTTAGCTCTGGGACTACTCAAAGCCTCAACTATAGTATTTCTCACCTCAGCTGCTGCACTATCACACCAGCCTGCACATCCTGAGGACAAGGGGCTACATCATTTTCTACCCTTGGATCCCTGACAACCAGTGGTAGCATACAACATTTGATAAAGAACTAAATTTTAAAAAAAAAAAAGAAAGTGGAACAGACCGTTGGCTATACTTGGTACATGATAGCTATTTGGCTACAGTTTTCATGTGTTCATTCCCCAACTATTCACTGTGTTGGCACTGTATTAAGTATCAAATGAAATCAGTGAGAAAATACAGTGTGTATAGCACATATGTATTGTATTAAGTGAGAACAATGGATATGGGCCTTGCCCTCTGGAACCTTAAAGATAAGCAGGAAGACAGACATCCATCAAAACCACAGCAATAAACACAAAACTCCAGGGCACACACTATGCAGAGAGGTGCCTGGGCATCCAGCTGGCTCGAGTGGCTCCTGGAGAAAGGGACTTTTGAGCTAACATTTAAAGAATGAGTAATCAGCTGGGGGAAAAATAGGAGCCATGTCCAAGAACAGCAAATGCAAAGGTCCTGAGGTAGAAGGAACAGCAAGAGCTCAGCAGAATGATCAAGAGGGAGAGGAGATGAGGCAAAAAGGCCAGCACAGGGTAGGGGGCAGACCTGCGGGAGCTTGGAGGCTTGAAGTGACACCAGGAAGCCATCAAAGACTCCATCATAGGGTTCTGAGGCAGGGTTGGTGGGTTCCAATTTGCATTCTGGAAAGATCTGTGTGAGTCAAGTGGAGAGTGGAGTGGAGCAAAGCAAGAATGGACAAAGGGCATGTTGGTTTAGAGACAGTGGTAAGGTTGTGTGCAGGGTGCCACTGTGGCTGCTCAGGTGAGCACCATCACAGTGTGCCTGCCTGAGTAGTGAGTGAAGGATAGGGTCTCAGCTAAGCCATGTGTCCAGTGCAGACATGCCTGCCCAGGTTCTGTAGGTGTCTGGCCTTGTAAACTGTGATAAGAAGCTGACATTGAATTCTCCAAAAGCCAGGAGTGAGCCAGGAGCAAGTGGCTGATGCTTATAATCCTACCTACTTGGGAGGCTGAGATCAGGAAGATTGCAGTTGGAGGCCAGTCTGAGGAAACAGTTTGCAAGACCCCATCTCCAAAATAACCAGAGCAAGATGTACTGGAGGTGTGGCTCAAGTGGTAAAGCACAGCATGAAGCCCTAAGTTCAAAACTCAGTGCCTCAAAAAATAAATAAAAGGAAGGAATCCCTGCCAACCTCCTCCATCCTGAGTCAGCCTAGTATTGTGGGTGTTGAGCTCTATCCTCAGAGGCAACCTATCACCCACAGGTTCCCAATCTCTCCTGGTCAGAATTGAGCCTGCATGATCCCTGTGGAGACCCAACACATGTCAAGCCCTGTTCACACCCACTGAGGCCTGGGAAGCTACACTGGACCACAAGGACTGAGGTATTCCATTTCAAAGTCCTGGCTCCACACTGACTGCCAGGTGTTGGCAGCTCATCCATGAAGGAAGGGAGAAACTGAGCTGCTGATAACTACCTAGTAAGCAATGAAAGAGCCAGCCAGGGAAGGGAATGGAGAGCCAGGGCATCACAGAGGCCAGCTTAAGGCAGGCCTCATCCACGCAGGAGACACCAATTCTTCCAAAGGGCTCCCCCAGGCAAAGAAAGGAGAGCCTGAGCTGGAAATGGAAGATGGAGGCCTAACATAGACTTAATTGTTAACTGGCTGGGCATCCTGGGGAAACTCCCATCCCCTCTCTGGGCCTCAGGACCCCCAATGGTCAGTTTGTTCTCACAGTCTCCTATGGTCGAGTTAGAAGCAAGTAGCTTGGTTGTCAAATCTTAGCTCTATGACTTATAAACTATGTCACTCTGGAAAAGCCAATTCACTTTTTGAGCTTCAGGTCCTTATCTGAAAATAAAGTGCCTATTTCACAGGCAGTTGTGAAAATTAAACATAATACGTGAAGAGTAATACTCAGGGTTTGGCACATCCTATGTGCTCAATGAAAGAAGCCAGGTGGCTTCTGCCAGACCTCTGCCATGGTGCGTTGAGACCCAGGGCCCCAGGAGTTGTGAGCCTGAGGCACCACAGTGCCAGGAACTGGGGCTACAAATGAGGAGGACCCAGCTCTCACTCTCGAGGACCTCACAGAGGCACACATTGGTCAGACACAAGACCAAGAGCTACCACCACTGTGTTTGCTGAACTTGGAGATGACAAAACACAACAGCTCCCACTTACTGACAGGCTCCAGGTACCCAGTCTTGTGCGTAGTGCTTCCCACCCATTGTCCTGTTTTGTCTCCAACACAGCCCACTGAGGCAGGAGCTGTAGCTGGCCCCACTTTACAAGTGGGTTGAGCATCCTGCCCAAAGTCACTCTGCTTCTAAGTGTCAGGAAGGTTTGACCCAGGGTCTGCAGCTTTAAACCTCTGCTCTCACAAAGCCATGAGGTCCTCACTGGATAAAGAGGAGGTAATCCTCAACCACCAGGGGGGTGAGCATTTGAGCAGAGAAATCAGACCTCTGGTCAAAACCAACAAGAGATCTTGACTTATGCAACAGGGTAGGAAGAGCACGAAGACCTGGAATTATCACTGATCCTACAGTGAGACTCTGAGCACATCCCTGCTCCAGAGCTCTTAATCTTAAACACTGTGTGACAGTCCTGGAACTGCCATACCCTCCACTCATTTACTTAGTAGAATTTTGCATCAGAGGCCACTTTTGGGAAACAGGACTCCCAAAGTCTCTGGGACCAGGTAGATAATACTTAGAGGTATGAGTTTGGGCACATTTCTTCAACTTTCTGCCTCAGTTTCCTTCTCTCTTAAGTCTGGATGCTATCTCCACCTGCCTTGAAGGATGCCTTATTAGCGTGAGGTGAGTTCATTTGTGTAAAGCATGCAGGCAGTGCATGGCACTGGGTGTGCTCTATAAATGTCTTCCATTCTGGTGATTTTCAGGCCTGGGGCTCTGAATCAACCTTAATGAAGTTCGTGTCAGAAAAGGGCACAGAGACTAGAAGAAAAAAACACAGACAATGAAGAAAGCCTAACTTTACTCTTCTATGAAGTCACAAACCAGGCCAGTGGTCCCCAGAGGGTGCTCTGTGAAAGAGATCAAGCCAGCTAGGGAAGGAATCTCCCCAGGCTGCCTACTGCAGGACTGCTAAGGACCTTCAATCTCATGCCTCACAGTACCTTTCCAGCAGCAGAGCTCCTGCTCTATCAGTGCATGAAAGAGTCTGCTGTATAAACCCCCAACTAGACCAGCCCCTCCCAGCACCAAACACAGGGCCAAGGGCTTAATGCACATGGACGCCTGGCATACAGGCCACTTTTGACCACCTCCTACTTCTTCCCACCTCGCCAAGCTAGAGCCTACCCTAAGACCTGCAATTTGACTTGTGGGCTGAGGACTCTCACACGGAGCCACATGTCTCCTTCCCTCACTTCCTTTAGGCCACTTTATCAGAGAAGACTTCCCTGGCTGACTATCAAAAATAGTGTCAGCCTCTCATACTCACTACCCTCTGTACCAATGCCCTGCTCTGCTTCCTTTTGCATTTATCACTACCCTCCATGTACTATGTTTATTTGTTTGGCGCCAATCACCCACTGCGTTCCTATTGTACTAAACTGTCAGCTGCATGAGAGCAGGGGCTCCATTTTATGCCTCTGTGCCTGGAGCAGTGCAAGTGCTCAGTAAATAAATATTTGCCAAATGAAGGAGCAAACATCCACCAGAGCACCAGACCAAAGTCCCAGCTCATGCCTGCTTTCATCTGCCTGACACAGCCTCAAAATCCCTCAGCCAAAAATTAGAGATAAGGGCAAAATAGTTTCTGCTGGGTATCGAGGGGGTGGGGGGGAGAGGGAGGGGGCAGAGTGGGTGGTAAGGGAGGGGGTGGGGGCAGGGGGAGAAATGACCCAAGCATTGTATGCACATATGAATAATAAAATAATAAAAATTTTTTTAAAAATCCCTCAGCCAAGGACCCCACTATTCCCTCCCAAAAGACAGGTTCTCCACAATGCCCTTTCAGCAAGGACCCTGATCCCAGTGGAGCCCTACAGAACCCAGAGTAGCACCCCACCTACCCTCTGAGATTCTTTCTCTTTCTCCCAATGCAAAATGGTCTGGATGAAGAGTTGCGTAAACTCCCACACCCCGGTATAGCCAGGAGGAAGTGCATGGAGCGAGAACCCAAACTGCCTGTGTTCCTACCTTATAGGCTTAGAGCCTTGAATATAAGCACCTTAACCCTCTGAGCCTACACGTGCTCATCTGTAAAATGGGAGTCACCCCCACCCTTGGGAGAACTGCCTTGCCTGATACCCATCCCCTGCCCCCTTTAGGCAGTGACTGCTGTGTGCTAACCTCCATGTGTGGCAGGGAACAGGGACCCTAACACTTATAAAGCACTCACTCACACATTTAACCTTTGTGACAAGCTTGGGAGGTTAAATGCTACCATTGCACCCATTTTACAGATGAGAAAAGCAGGCACTCAGCTAGTGAGTGTGGGGATGGGGCTTAGAAGGGCTCAAGAACTTTGCTCCCTTCCTACCTTGAAGAAGCCAATGATGCCCACGCCATAGGCCACACAGTACTTGTCCAGCAGCTCCCTGTTCCAGGCGTCCAGGTTGACATACTTGAGGATGTTTTCATAGATGATGAGGGCAAAGCGGCCACGTCCCTTGTCAGTGAGTGTGGGCATGTCCCCCTTGCCTGGTGCAATCTCTGTACGGTACTTGAAGCGGCTGGACTCCAGGATGGCCACCACCTCCTGGCCCAACTGGGAATAGAGGCTCTCCACAAACACCAGCACCAGTGGATCCGTGCGGGAAGGGGTGGCCACCTGCACAGGCTTGAGTGGCAATAAGCGGCTAGGGGCCACAGGTGGTGGATCCCCACAGTCGGACTCAGGGGCGTCAGCCGAGGGCTCAAGGCCTCGCTTCCAGCCATATAGGTAGTAGGCTGAGATGAAAACGCTGAACAGACAGAAGACAAACAGCAGGAAAAGGACAGCCTGTGGGGACACGTGCCGACACAGCCTCCGGAGGCACGCCAGGGCAGGCATTGTGGCCCCCGAGACCTTGGCCACCGGAGGCCTAGCCTGCCCTGGCTACCCCAAGGCCCCACACAGAGATACAAGAGTTGTTCACTGACCAAGAAATTCACAGAGACTTTGGAAGCAAGGCCCTTAGTGGGCAGCGGAGTGGAGGACCAGTGCCCCTGGCCCTTCCTCCCAGCCAGGGGCACAGTCTGCAGGCTGGTCTTGATCCTTCCTTCCTCTGCCCCTTTATGTCACCATGGCAAATCCCCACGTGGTCCTGCACAGAGCAGAAGTGCCCCAGGGCGTCAGGGCCTCCTGGGGGAACTGGGCAGCACTCCAGAGGATGCCAGGTAGGCTGATGGGTGCTGCATGCTGCTCACCCACTAGGGCCAATGGAGTTAAGGCTGCAGAGAAAACAGGAGAGTCAGAATGGGGGGCTTCAGGGAGCTGCTGATCACAGACAGTCAGGTCCTGACCAGTTCAAGCCTTCTCCTCCAGCCTAAATCCCCCCAACCAGGCCATACCACTGCACTCATCTCACTAGAAAGAATTAACAAAGATCCACGTACAACAGATCTCACCCCAAAAGCAACCCCAGACACAGCCCTCCAGTCCCCTGAACATGAATGGAGGCCACAAAGCGAGATTTCCCAGCTCCAGTAGCTGGCCCAAGCTTCCATGGCAGAATGGAAGTGAGAGAGCCTGGGCTGAGGTGGTCAGGCAGGGAACTGGAGTCCAGGCTTGGTCTTGAGGATAAAAACCTCTGAAATCCCTCCCAGCCCCAACGCTATATGATATACTGGCTGCACCACCTGCCAGAGACCCAACAGTCGCACTTCCAGGAATTTATCCTAAAGTAGTAACTACAGAAGTGTGTAAAGATTTCTTCGCAAGAATTCAAATCCCAGTGCTGTTTACAATAGCAAATCCCCAACAATGGGGGATGTCTTTAGAAATTATGATGCATTGACAGAATCCTAGGCAGACATTACAGTATGTTGAAGGAGGACATTTACTGACATTCACCACATACATTGTTGAGTTGGGGAACATTTATAAAAACAGTCTGTAAATATGATCATGTTTTTGTTAAACATTTTTATGTATAGGCTAGAAACTGGTACTTTTTTTTTTTTTTTTTTTTGCGGTACTGGGGTTGAACTCAGGGCCTTCACCTTGAGCCACTCCACCAGCCCTATTTTTGTGAAGGGTTTTTCAGGATAGGGTCCTGCAAACTATTTGCCTGGGTTGGCTTCAAGCTGTGATCCTCCTGATCACTGCCTCCTGAGTAGCTAGGGTTATAGGCATGAGCCACCAGCACCCGACTCTAATTTTCTGTTTTTGTAAAAGCCACATTAATACTGATTCTCTCCGGGTAATTTTCATTTTCTGCTTTTTGTTTGTAAATGAGAAGATGGAGAGCAAGTTTGGTCCCAGCTGTGCTGTGACAGGCTGTGTGATGTTGAGCATACCCTATCTGTCTCTGAGGTTCCTGCCCAATAGGTGGGGGCTGGGACCTCTTCCACCTCTGCAGTCTTACTATGTGGAGTTCCTGGGAAATTAGGGGCAGCCTTTCAAGAAAGCAGGCATCTACAATGCTGGGGAATGAGTGTGGCAGCTGGGGAAGGGAAAAGTGTTTGGGAGAACCAAGAAGTATTTAACCTCTGCAGGGTGAGGGGGCTGGGGAAGGCTACCTAGAAGAAGTGGTACCTGAGCTGGTCAGAACAAGAAGGGTTGGTCAGGAAAAGGAAGAGGAGGAGGAGGAGGAAGGAACAGCACATGCCACGACCTGGAGATAAGGGAGTGTGTGGTGCTTTCCAGGGACTCCCTGCAATTCTAGGTGAGAGAAGGGCAAGAAGGGGCAAGTGTTCTGGCACAGTTAGGAAGACTGGAGCAGCCAGTCCTGTTTATGCCAAGGGTGTGCCAGAGTCCCACCTACCACTGATAAGAGCTGCCTGCAGCCAAAGCCAGGCCCCACCCTGAGGTGTAAGGGGGGGGGTAGCGAGGGACACCCTGGTAGTGCACTGCCCATGCCAGCCACCCAATTCCATGGAAGAGGAAGTGAGTCTAAGTGCTGTATCACTGACCCTCTATCACATTAACAGCCTTTCTGCCAGTTAATGATGCAATCCACAGCCTGAGGCATCTGGGGGTCATAGAACCCTGTGAAAATAAGACATTTTTCATATACAAAAGTATGCAAATTAAAGACTCACATGGCTGCCAAGACTGGGGGTTGGAGGGATGAATAGGTGAAGAAAACTGCTTTGTATCATGCTATGGTGGGCACATATCCAAACCCATAGGATGGTGCAACATCAAGCTGGGTGTGGTGGTACATGCCTATAATCCCAAAACTCTTGAGGCTGAGGCAGGAGGATGGTAAATTCAAGGCAAGTCTGGGCTACCCTGTCTCAAAACAAAACAGAAAAACAGAATGAGCGAGAGTAAACCCTACTGTGAACTCTGGGCTGTGGATGACAATGACATCTGTGTAGGTTCATCCACTGTAATACATGGACAGCTCTAGTGAGGGATGTTGATATGGTGATATATATATGAAATGGGAATTCTCTGTACTTTGTGCACAATTTTGTTGTGAACCTAAAACAGCTGCCCCAAAAAAAATTTTTTAAAGAAATACATATGAGCTGATGGAGTAGCTCAAGTGGTAGAGCACCAACCTAGCAAGTGCGAGGCCCTGAGTTCAAACCCCAGTACCACCACCAAAAATATATATATATATGCACATCTGCTGGAAAATGTAACAACTTGAAGAATTCAGACTGAGCCCCACCAAGTTCATCCATGGACCCAAAGTCCTAGATTAATGGAGCCTACTGATTACACAGGCCAACTGCAGCCAGGTGGCACCAGTTCAAACCTGAGCTCCATGACCTAGTTAGTAGCTGCATAATCCTAGGCAAGACACTTAACTTCTCAGTGCCTCGGTTTTCCTACATGTAAACCAGGACCATTTTACATATTTCCCAAGGTCATGAAAACTAAGTAAGAGGACACATCAAATGCTCAGCAGCACATCTGACATACAGCACTGAGGAGCTGTCCACTGCCATTACCATGTGCTCCTGTAGCTTCTTTAATGTCCTCACAACTCACTATGAGCTCTCACCATGTGGACAACTCCGGTCACATAACACTAGGGAGCTCAACTCTCTGGCAGCCCTGGAATCAGACAGAGGCAAGTGCTGATTTCACAGAGGGAGAGCAAGGGCTGTGGGAGGCAACTGCTCTGTGCACAGAGGGGCCTCCTCTCTCACTGTACACCTTAGAAGAATCTCCATCTTGAGGACCTTTCCTGGGAGATTAGGGAAAAGACAGTCCATGGTAAATCGCATGACAGAGAGAGGGTAAAATAACCCATGTTCCCAGAAATCACCAAATATCCTAGAGTAGGGAGAAGGTCTGTTGCTTTGTAAACAAAGCAATGACCACCCAGCTTGCTAGCAAGGGGCCTCTGCACACTGCTGCCCCCTCAGACCCACCTCTACCCCCACCCCACCATTCCAGGCTCTTCTCACCTTCCTGTATCCCAGAGCACCTGTGGCTCAAGGGGTGAAGGACTAGGGGTTTCTAATCCACCCCTCAGTCGCCAAAGCCTCAAGGACAGCTTGGACAGGGTCTTGGTGTCCCCCTACCACCCTGGGCCTTGCCAAGATCATGATCACCAGCCCCTTCCCCTAAGCCATAGCCTTGCCCAGCCAGTCACACATCCTGATCAAGTGTCCTGGCCTTCACTAGTGAAGTTCCCATTGCCAGGAATGCCTCCCCCAACCCCTTGGGACACTTACTCATCCTTCGCCACACTGGTTCCAATGTTATGGCCTCTCTGAAGTCATCTCCAGCCACCTGGCTCCTGCCCCAGGCCTGCTCCTCAGGCTCCACCCAGCCCACTCAAAGCATAGGGCTGAGAACGAAGACCAAAAGGCCCTTAAGGCCAAACAAAGGGTAGATGTGTGTTCTTTGACTTACACAGCATTCTTCTTTAATTTGGGATTAACTACGAACATGTTAAAATCAGGGAATTTCACCTATCAGAACTTCTAACTTCTCTTTCAAAAGGGCAGGTTCCAATGACACCAGGCACCCATCCCTGCCAGCGCCACCACGTGGGCTCCTAGTCCCCAGTCAGCACAGTCACGGTGCCCCTCACAGTCCCACAGCCAGCCTCCTGCCCTCATTCAGCTTCCTGCCAAGGTGCACCTGAGCTGTGGCCCATACAGAGTAAACCTGGCAGTTCTTCCCTGAAAAGGCTGCCTCCTGCAGCCTTGCAGGCCCTCAGGGAAGAACTGGGACTAATGACCTCTGAAGGGACAGGCTCTGCCCTCCCCCTAGCACCCAGAAGCCCTCAGCCTTTGCTGTCTTCTTTCTCCCCCAAGCCTCGGTGCCTTGCAAGGGAGGAACCAAATCTGATTCTAGGTCCTTATACAGGACTCAGGATATGAATGAAAGGGTAGCTGTTACTATTCTCAATCTACAGATGAACAGAAAGCGGCTCCAAGGGAAAGTGACTTGCCACAACCACACAGAAATCACTAAATCTTGTGATCACTAAATCAGGTTTCTTCCTGACTTTGAGAGTTTACAGAAATCAGGTGCTTCTATAATAAAATAACAACAGTATGATTATCATCATTATTAATTATCATTATTAATACTAATACCACACCTTTAGCATTTTCTTTGAGCCTGACACTTTTCATACCTTACCTAATTTAATGCTTACAACTAATACTGTCATTTTCCACATTGACAGTTGAGAATGAGGCTCAGAGAGGTTGTCATTTGCCCCAAATCACATAGCTAGTCAGTGGTAGAGTTGAAATTTGGATCCAGACCCCATAAAAGGGAGTGTTCCAGAGCCTCCAGGGGACCCTTGGCTGGGGAACATGAGGGGGACCTCAGCCACTGAGGTCTCCAGCCTTTAGCCAGGCTCCCACTGCACTCTCCCAGCCCCAGCTTTTCCTGCCAAGGTGCTGGAGATAATGAATGAGATGTTCTGGTTGTCATGGAGATACTATGGCAACGCCACACTTCAGGAACTACCACAGTGACTGTGGCCATTGCTCTAGAGTTGAAAGTCACTTCCTACTCCATCTCCTTACCCAAAAGTATCTGGTCTCTACAATCCTTCCCAGGACCCATAAGAGAAAGGGGGCCTTCTCACAGAACAAACTATCCAGAGCCTGGGACAGGTTAAAGGGGTCCAACTTGAGCCCTAGATGAATGTGTGGTCTCCAGGAATGAGAGAAAGAGCTCCCTGACAGCAAGTAGAGACTGAACTGGCTGCATCTTGGAGGGTGCAGTATGCCCAAAAACTCAACTCACGGGTTCTTAGCACCGTTTGCCAGCAGGCTCTGGGAAGGGCTGTGTGTTCACCCTCCCTCAGGGAAGCAACCCCAGAGATAGCAGTGCAGTGGCTGTTGCCACAGTAAGGGCTCGGACTGAAGCCAGACTGCCAGGCTCAAATCTTGGTTAAATTATTTACCAGCCCTGTGACCTTTGCAAAATCTTTCAATTTCTCTGAGCCTCAGTTTTCCTTCCTCTGCTAAAAAAAAAATAAATAAAAAGTGGGGTTTTTTTATACTGCTTATCTAGCTCAGGGGACAGCTGCCAAGATTTAGATGATACATGTAGAATGCTCAGCTCAGTGCCTGGCACATGGTAATATAAGGTGATAAAATGAATGTCCATTTACCAGATTTGAAAACTGAGGCTCAGGAAGGGACTGGCCCAAGGCCACATACCAAATTAACAGTGGTTCTGGAAAGAGAGAACAGGATGTCAAGTT